GAGGGTGATCTTAGCATGTGTTGGACCTTGGGTTCGATTCCCAACCCTGGAAAATAAAATCCAGAATCCTGCAGCTGGATTCTGAAGACACCCAGATGCAACCATGACTTGTGAAAAAAAAAAAAATGCTGAGCGTTGCTTTTTCCCCCCACACTTAAGGCAAAGATTCCCAGAGCCAAGGAAAGCCTTCTCCCAGCTCATCGGCAGCAGGTTCTCAAGCAGAGGAACTAAGCATGATTCAGCACATTTGACAAAGGATTTATACCCATTCTTAAAAGGACAACCAGAGGAAGCGCCGTCTGAGGCTACACAATGGTATCTGCTCGCCCTTTGATCTCAGCTGAAGAACACTGTGTCCAGCTTCTTTGCTGAAATGCCACCGAATTTAGCATTTAAAAACTCTATTTACTACTTCTTTGGACCACACTCTTTCACACTCTCCCAGCTACTCCTCCTGAGGATAGCTTACAGGCAAAAAAAAAAAAAAAAGAAAAAGAAAAAAATGTATTTTCTGTTACAAAAAAAGAGAAGAAGAAGAAAAATCTTGCTAAGTGTAGGCAACCCAGATGAAAAACTGCAGTGCTGATCCTGTTTATGTGAGAAAGACAGTAGAGTGTCTCTGGTTACAAATACAAGTAGGGAGTATTCCATTTTTCTTCTAATTTATGTTTCCCAAGAGTAATTCTGTTGAGAAGATTGCCAATATTTTCAGTACAATACGTTTCTTGTTTCTTGTACTAACACTAGCTGATTCCCCTTTCCTAGCTAAATGTGAGCCTTTTATTTCATCTAATCCCAGCGTCTGGAGATCAACACCTTATTAATTCAAGATAAGCCTGAAGCACAGGTGTTTAGCAAGGCATCAGTTCTCACATATGTAAGGATATTACAGGACAGCTGATTTTTAAAGGCCTATTAATAAAGCATTTGTCATTTATAAAATGCCTCAACGAATGTCCTAAATATCTCCAAGCATTTTACTAAGCACAAATCAACCTGGGCAGTGGTGCTACACGTGCCCTTAATTCCAGCACTCAGAAGGCAGAGGCAGGCAGATCTCTGTGAGTTCGAGGCCAGCCCGATCTACAAAGTGAGTTCCCGGACAGCTAGGGCTGCACAGCGAAACCCTGTCTCAGAAAATAAAACAAAACACAGATAAAGAATATCTTTCCTAAAGAATCAGGGCTTGCAGATCAGTGGGAATTTAAAATATAGGATACTGTGTATATTTTCCTTAATTCAATCTTTTTGAAGCACTGCCTGTGTGCTCAGCATGGGGTTAGACTTCCCTGCGGGATCCATGTAATGTCAGTCTCTAAAGGCTGACATCCTACAGCGTCCATACACAATGAGTAAGCAATTTTCACAGCAGAGAGAGAAATTCCATGTGCTCAGCAGGAGGAAGGAAAGGACCAGGGTGCTCTGATGATAAAGGAGAGGATAGAGAGTGTATAGTAAGAAGGTGTTTGTAGGAGGGTGGGATTTTAACCTAAGACCTAAAGGATATTTCAGGATCTCTCTCCAAGGTCACCAAATTGGCAAGTCTGCTTAGCAGACTGCCAAGACGTTTTAAGCGGTAGAAAACTAATAGCGAAAGACATCTGTGGCCCTAGTTTGCTGTAAATCCACCAGCTCACCCAGGCCCTCGGCTGCCACACCGCATCCACGGCAGACAGCCATTTGCTTCCGAGCCTGTTCCCAAGATGGGATTCTGAACAGTCAACAGAACAATGAGCTGGTCGAATGACCAGCACTCAGGCTCGGAGAGATTCATCCTGTTGATTCATACTTCCTGATGTCGGGCTGGCTGACAAAGCTAGGGTGGTTCAAATGTACTCCATGAGCAAATTATTCCCCTAGTCCCAGGAAAGAGGCATGCTTACAGAGATGGGTAACTTTCCCTTACGCTTTTAGCGAGGAACCTTCTCAGCCCAGTGGATAGAGCACAAACACAGTGATGTAAGATGGATCTTTCTGTAGGTTCTTTAATAGATGAGTCACGGATTACGTCATCCAACATGACATGGACACCAACTGGGAAATCTGCAGAATTCTAACATCCTTAGAGAATGCACTCTGCTCAGCTTCAGAAGCCTCTTCTCCAGATAAACGCCCCTTCTTACATTCCCAGCCAGGGTCATCAGATGTTACCACAATCTGGCCTCTGATGAAATCTGTCTTTCCCACTGCCACCTGGATTAAGATGAATACAACTGTTTTTACTGGCAGGTGGCAATGCTTGCTGCTTGAATTCTACCTATCAAGAAGTCATCTCTTTCCTCCCCCCCACCAGTGGAGTCTAGAACTGGATCTACAGTAACGATAACTGCAGAGAGCCCTGTGGTTGGATATAAGGGGCTTGGACAAAGAGTGGGATCTTTCAGTTCTGTGTCAGTCTGTCCAGGAATTCACTTGTCCCTTGGAGCTTCCAGTCTTTAAAAATCACTCACAACAAATAAAGTCACGTGATCCTGCGGGCCAGTAATTCCGATACTATAGAGGTTTAGGCAGGAGCGTTTCCAGCTCCAATCCAGCTTGGGCTACACAGCACAGGCTCTTAAAAAGGAAGACGACGATGGAAGAGAGGGAAAGAAGGAAAAGGAGAGGGAGGAATGACGGGGGGAGTGGGGGAGAAAGAGTTAAAAACATACCGAGGGAGATACAATGCTAAACTATATAGCCATAACAAAATGAGTTGCCAACTACCTTCAAACAGGGTGACTCAGAAGCTGTGTGCAACTTAGACCACAAAAGGTCAGAAAAGCAAGGAAAGAGGGGAATTTGGAAGTCACCACACACACACACACACACACACACACACACACATACATACATACACAAAACAAATCTGTGTCAACCCAGATCTTGACATTTCCATTACCACCAAAAATAACGGTTGCTGAACCCCATGAAAAACATAAAGATTTCTTAACCCTTGAATCATTGGGGCAGCACTTAAAAAAAACAGTTTCTGAAGTCTGCCCGACCCTCCACGTGCTGACTGAGGTGAAACACAGTGCCACCTGGCACTCTCAAGGCTCACAGGTTTCTCTCATGTACCACGGCATTCAGAAGCCTTGCTTCTTGTCTCTTCCAGAGATGGTATGATTTCCCTCAGACATCTGGTAACCTGCTTTTTAAAAAAAAAAATCTGAGAACTTTTAAAAAGATAAAAGATGCCTTAGCTCGCCCACAAGATTCTGCCAGTGTCTGGGTCTGGGTAGAACCAGCACCCAGTACATTATAGGCCCAAAGTGGCACTAAGACTAAGGCCTATGGTACAAACCTCCTGCTTCCACAGAACTGAGATAAGATGCTCTGAGGGGAGTCAACAGTACCAGCTTTCCTTCAACTTGCCTTTAGGATTCCCCCACGTGGCAATAAAACATGTCTAAAGCAGTCGGGAAACTTAGAGGAAGGAGGTGCTGAAGGAGAGAACAGGAGTGGGAATTATGAAATCAAGGAACCAGATCTGTTAGAATAAGAACACTGCTTCTCTGCCACCCTGGCCACCCCCATCATCAACTTGTATTGACTGGCGTAAGAGAAAGTTTCCTTAGAGCGCTTTCTGGTGGTGGCTCAACCTTGAACTTGATTCCAACACTGTGAGAATTACTGTCCAATCGAAACCCCCTCCCCCACCCTGTAGTCCAAGCAGCCAGGTTGGCAGCCCTGAGCCTCCACTCCCCTTGAGATTGTTCCATGAACCCCCCCAGAAGGGTTTCAGCAGTACTTGGATGCTGGCAGTCTTGCCTCCAGACTTCCTGCTCCACTTGCTCGCTACTCTTGGTTCGTTTTTCTTCTACACACCGGTTCTTAAGAATCCTAAGAACACTTGTAAAGAACTCAGATACTTAACCCTGGGCCATCCCTGTAACTACTGCCTTGAAAAGGATGGATGTCTCCCACAGCCCTTGCAATCCTTTTAAGCAAGCACAGCTAACCCATTCTGGGGCCTAAGTACAGGCCTGGGTCTCCCCCGTACTGAAAGCCCACAGAGACCCAAGGATCGCTGTACCCACTCTGGGAGGGTCTACTTCCCAAGTCTACCCACTTGGGGACATGCCTCCTACATTTCTGGTTTATACTAAGTTTATGAAAGAAAAAAAAGTCTAGCGAGACTCGGAAGCACTGACTCGGCAGTCTTCCTTACCCCCTTTTCTGTTTACAGATGAGAGAAAACATCAGGGGGGCTGGGGGGGGGGACGTGACTCTGTCCGAGTTTGCCGCAGAACATTTGTGGCAGAGCCCAATTTAGCCGCCCTCGACTTTCCATTCTGTTGCCTGGCAACGGAGTTCGGTAGAGCTCAGCGGCCAACCCTGGCCCCTACTCTGCACCCCAGCAGCTTGGGCAGCATTGATGAAAGGGTCAGCCTTTTGGGACAATGGCCAAGGGCATGAGAGCGCAGGCACAGGGTGGATTATCCCAGTTGAGCTGGAATCTCGCCCCACACTGACGCAAGCCCCGCCTGGCTGGGATTGGGACACCTTCCACCTTGCTGTGGGACCTTCCTCTGCCTCCAAAGCCTTCCTTCAACACCTGTGAGTTTCTCATTAAGCACTTGCATCAGGTTCTCAAAATTCTCAACCGCTGTCGGATGCCCTGATAGTCAAAGTGGGTAAACTGGCACCCCAAGTGTCTAAGGGGCAGAGGAGGACAGTTCAGAGGTGGGGGCAAAAAAACAGAGAGCCTTATCTTACTAACGATGGCCACACTCGGACTAGAACTGAGTAGAAGTGGCCCGAGCTTGGTAAGAGTAAGAATACAGAGAAAATGTCCCGAGCTCCCCCAAGAAGACACCCTCCGCGGGCACCGCGGGATGCCCCAGGCCCTTCCGCTGCAGCGTAGCGCACTCCTTCCCTCCGCTGCGCAGGTGGCAGGAGCGTCAGCTGTCCCGCATCCCAGCCACGCGCACTCCTCCACCGCTTCCCACCACTTGACCCCGGGAGACAGGAAAGAAGGGATCTGCTCTCGGCGTGGCACTACCCCAAATCCTTACCCAGGTTCACAAAGCTCATGACCATGTCCGCGTCGTTGAGGAAAGCGCTGTCCTGCGCGCTGGTCAGTGGGGACGCACCGCCGCCGGGTCCCGGTCCCAAGAGGCTCTTGCGGTTCAGGGAGTGTGCAGCGCCAGGGGACGGCTGTCTGCGCTGGAACGAGCTGGCCCCTCCGCGGGATCCAGGTTCCTGTCTGTCTCCCTCCGAGACCCCATCCTCTTCGTCATCGGCGGACAGAGCGTTATAGAGATCCAGCATGAAGAGCGGAGCGGACTTCAGCCGCCCTGGAGGGGGCTCCTCGCGGACCGGTTGCTGCTGCTGCGGGAGCACGGGGGACTGAGGCTGCTGGAGACCGTGCAGGGGGCGCGGCCTGTGCGGGAGCCCCAACACCGACAGAATCTCCTTTTGCATCTCCCGCTTCTCGTGGGTCTTGAGCCGCCGATAGAGGAAGCCCGAAGAAGAGGATTGAGGCGGCGGCGGCTGCTCTGCACGCACTGGGCTCCCGCCGGCTCCCAGCAGCTGCCCCCCGGCGGCGGCCGCGGCTACCGGCAGAGGTTGCCGCAGTGGCGAGGGTCCACAGCTGCACAGCAGCCCCCACCACCAGCACAGCCACTGCGCCCTTCGCCCCAGCCCGGGCATTGCCGACCCGCCCGGCTGCCCGGGCAAGCCACTCGAGGCGTCGAGCGGCGGAGCGAGGCCGGAGCGCGGCGGCTGTGGCCCTTGGCGTGGGCAGCCCCCGCCACCTCTCGGCGGGCTCTCTTCCCGTTCCTGGCACTCAGTCCTTATCTTTCATGGTCATCCGCGGCGCCCCCAGAAGCCCAGGCGGAGGAGAGACGAAGGGGCGATGGCCAGGATCTCCACCCTCCCACGGGTCTCTGGAGGCGCACGGGTTGAGCCAGGTGTGTCCTAGGCAGGACTGCGCTGCAGCCGGCACCCCTGGACGGGTCACGGCGCGGTCACTCGCAGTCCGCACACGTGCACTGCCCTGTGCCCTTGCACGAGGCTGGCCGAGGGGGACCGGAGGCAACAGCTCAGGAACTGGGGGCGATGCCGGGCACCATCCCTGCGCACGTCCCTCCTGGCTTGTAGGACGATTGTGAAGTTTACCCCGCCACGGGTCCCGGGCTGTGGCGACCCCGCGTCCTGAAAAGCCAGTCTTCTCCGCGCAGCTTTAACTTCCCTCTGGTCCGAAACTCAGCGCCCCTCCGCCCTCGGGCACCGTCGCTCCCCCTCGGAATCTCCACACGCCTCCCCAAGTGGAGGCGGCCAGGATCTCGCTTTCCTCTCCGCGATCTCTCGGATACCCGGAGGAACTCACTCTCGGAGGCGAAGGGAGAGAAGAGGACCAGGGCGCGGACCAGAGGCTGCGGCGTCGGCTGGGGAATTCGCAGTCTCCCGCCTCTAAGCGCTGCGCTCCCGGCAGCCGCCAACGTGGGCTTTCTGCTGCGCGTATCGCTCAGGTACCGCACTCAAGCCCCGGAACGCCCCGCCCTTCTCGGTAACGGACAGGCTAACATCCAATGGAGAGACGATTCTTGCGTATATTTACATAGGCCCACCCCCTTCTTTCACCCTCCCTTCTCTCGAGGCCTCGCCTCCGCTGCGCGTAGGTTTCTAGCACGGAGAATTCTTGGAGGCACGGGGAGTTGCTTGGGCGGGTAAGAAAGGTAAAGAGGTCATTACTAGGAAGAAATGTCTGATCACGACCCCGATCTAAATCTTTCTCTACTACTACCTCGTCAAAGGTCAAGTTGTGTTAAATGTAAGTAAACACGGTTATTTAATCCATGCAGTTACCGAGGGAGAAAATAATGTAAGTTTTCTCCTTCCCTCCATGGTTTCTCTTATTGATGGAATGTAGGCGTTTAGCGGACACGTGGCTCTCAAACGCAGCTGCTGTAAGTTAAGACACACCCTGCGAGGAAGCTGCTCACACTCTCGCTGCGGAGCCGGCCTAGGACAAGCCAGATTAGCGTCCTGAAGGTTTCCAATCAGATATTTCAGTGTGTCTCTTCATGTGGGCTCCGTTTGCCTTCTTAAACCAAAACCGACATGAAAAGGGGCCCAATCTGCTAGTGTTACTAAGAAAGCCTTCCCTATGTCCTTGCTAGCCTCTCAATGCAACTTGTCGGACAGCGTTAAATTTTAACGTCCTGAGATAAAATATAAGTTACACATTCCGGGTAAAACGTAAAGAGAGTGGTAAAGATAGTCTCAGTGAGAGCAGAAGCCTGGAAAGTAGAGAAAATGGCCAGGATAATAAACAGGGCCCCGGGATCAGGTTGCTTCAATCCTTGAACAAATTGGGACCACTTCCAATACCACCTTCTACCAATAAAGACGAATATTCATTTCCTTCAACACTACTCAGATGCCCGCTCATCTGTGGATGCGCTCATCTGTGGATGCGCTCATCTGTGGATGTTTATAATCAAACCCACCTTAAAGATTAGATTCCTTCACCTGGGGAGAATGCAAGACTTAGGAAACTCCACCGACTTTCAGTTTTAGTTTTCATGGTCTGAAACATCGGAGATCATCAGTGCTTGGTTTAGGATGCCAGGACCCTGAGAAGTAAAAATCCTGCACCATTTCTTCTATCTAGGACATCATACAAGTATAAAATCACCGTGGTGTTGCCCAAGAGGGCAGGAGCTCCACTCAGAAGACCTGAAATCCAGCCAGTACACGAAGGATTTCAGCTGAGGGCCTCCTCTTTGCAGAGTCTCAGCCCTGCCTCCTTTGTAAGGGGTCTGGCAAGGCATATGTACAATAAAAGAAGCTCGGGTTATAAGAACAGAGGAGACAGCTCTGAGATCTGTGAAAATAGAGAAACAAATGAACAAATAAACCTTGAGGTCACTCCATAGGGCCGTGCCATTTAAAACACAAAAGTGGGGTTGTGTTTTACGTATGGTTCTATGAAGATAAGCCTAGTGCAGAACCTACATCTGGGGGTAGACTACTGACCACCCTTTTAAGGAACCCACATAGTGTGAGTCAAAAATATCAGCAATCAACCACGTTCCTCAACAGCATCCCTAATTCAGGCCTGTCATGGGTTCCCCACCCCTACCAAAAGGGACTCTGTTCTCCTAGAATAGTGCTAAAATAAGGGGGTGTCCTGCGGGTGCCTTCAGGAGGTGAGTATGTGAATCTGAGGAAGCCTTATGGGAGGTCATAAGGACAGTGATGTCCAGCTGAGGGTCACAAAGGTTGTGTCCTTACAGGTCATGCCCGTTGTGTGGAGGCAGGCAAGCACTCGGGGCCATTTGGGTTCAGAGTGATGATTGAAGAGCTACTATCCTCAGATCTCAGTGACTGCAAAATGGGAACACAGCTTCTCTGTGTCAACTGGAACTCGGGGTGCAGAGGGAACCTTAACTGGGGGGCCCTCCCACGCCCTGCTTCCCTGACCACATCCCATCCGGGACTCCATATGGCCCAGAGGTCTTAAATCAGGGGACTGGACAAAGCACACGTGCGATTCAAGTGCAAGCAGGATGAAGCTGAGGGAACTGGAGCAGGTCTGGCTTCTGAATTCACTGGAACCTGCGAACACTTGGAGAAAAGCAGAGGTCACTTCGCCCCCTGCAGGACACCAAAATATCACTGCCCGCTTCCTCCATAAACCCAGGCAAGCTCTCTCTGAGCATCCCTCAAGCATATGGGAGGAAAAGAGGAGGAATTCGTCAAGAAGCCAAATGTGAGCGCCAACCCATAGCAAACATCTGGCCGCTTGGCTGACATTTCCTGCAGATGGCCTCAGTCTCTGGAAATAGGTTGTCTGTCCCACCCTTGCCCCACTTCGTGAAGACGTGAAGATGGCCTCACCATACAGCACAAATTTGTTCCACACGTCCAGCGATACTAGGGACAGGGTGGGAAGCCTGCTGGGACACGGATGGCTCACAGAAAGTTCTTTAAAATGAAGATTTTTTTCAAAATTATTCCTTAGGATTTGTAGAGAGTTGTATGTTTACAGCACACTTGGGTAAATAATTTCTGAAATGAAAAGGTACTCCTTATTAATTTACCATGCCAAATATTCTTCTTTTGAAACAATACTACTTATTTATTTCATACATTAAATAGTCTGTGTTTCCCTTTGGATTACCCCATTAACAAGACCCTACAAGTAGCTGGGTGGTAGGGGCTGTCCCCTTTAATCCAACATTCAAGAGGCAGAGGCAGGTGGTTCGAGGCCAGCCTGGTCTACAGGGCTACAGGGCGAGTCCCAGGACAGCCAGGGCTACACAGAGAAACCCTGTCTTGACCAAAAAAAAAAAAAAAAAAAAAAAAAAAAAAAAAAAAAAAAAAAAAAAAAAAAA